AATAACCCCATGCAACAGTATGGCTGAGCCCCAACAGGATAAAAAGCAGCTTTGCAGGAGAGGACCTAGGGGTACCAGAGGACAAGAAGCGGAACATAAGTCAGCCATGGGCTCTTACAGCAAAGAATACCAACAGCATTGTGGGCTGTACTAGCAAGAGTGTTTTCAGCAGGTTGATGGAAGCAATTGTTCCCCTCTCTTTGGCATGTGTGAGACTGTATCTCGGTGCGAGAGTGCATGTGGAGCACCATGTTCAGTTTTGCACTCCCCAGTGCAAGAAAGGTACAGACATACTGGAGCATGTCCAGCTCTTGACTTGCAGCGAAGACTGCCATCAGCGTTCACAACCCAAACTAGTTCATCCCTGTTAGTCAGACTCAAGTGACTCAGTTCAACACACAATTAACCGAGTGAAACGTAGCAGTCCATGACATACACATCAGGTAAGATGATCCAATGGCCTTATATTTTGTGACTATGAAAGAAAAAGAAGATATGACAGAGAACAGCGCACAATTTTTCTTACCCAGAGTGAGAGAATTGGAATAGAAAATTATTTATCCTTAATGTAATCCTATCTCCTTGTTTAGTTGGTTTATATAAATTTCCCTCTGCAGAGAGACAGTTCCTGAGAAAGAGGGTTGAGGCATTTTGTCATGTGCCTACATTGTGGTTGGACATCACTTGGTGGATCAGCGCTTCAGTTTTTGGCAGGTCTGTATGTAGCACATAAATTTTTAAAGTTTGTTTAATTGGGTCATCAACCTGTCCCTTTAGTGCACCAATGCAACAACTTAATGCCTGAATAAAAGACTGTGGAAAAAAATGAGAGATACAGGTCATCTTCCAGGTCATTACTCGGAAGCCCCCATTTTCCTGAAGTGTTTATTTGCATTGGTGTGGCAGCAAGCAAAACTGAGTGTTAGTGAGCTGGAGGAGAGCTGTAGTGCCAGGAGCTCTGACTTCTGTGGGATACAGTTCCTTGTCTGTTTGTCATATTAACAATGATGAAAGAATAGCTTGTGCTTAGGGGCACTTCCTAGTTCATTTACATGCATTAAAGCTTTATTTAAAGATCTGTATCCTAGGTTCTGATGAAAACATTGAGGACATTATACTAAAATATACTTTATTAAATACCAAAATATTTTCCCTCCATCATCAATAAACAAATTAACAAGATTTACAGATACGTGTACATTTTTATAAATTAATGTACATACGTTCATATTTCTCAGCTCTATTTTTTCTACATTTGCATCATGCTGCAACACGTCCAAGTTTTTACAATGCAAAATTAGACAAAGCTCCCAAAATTTGCTTACAAAAGTTAAACACAGTTGTAGCAACTGTTTTTCCGTGTCTATGGATCTTTAGCATCTTTTTCTAATTGAAAAGTTGTGAATTTATGTGAGTGTCGAGTATATCACTCCTCTGAAAGATGTCACCAACATCTTTCCACTTCGACCTTCTGTCAAAAATTTCCTATCCAGTCATCTAGAGGCTTAAAGCAAGTAAGGATGCAGTTGAGGCACAGGCACATGACAAACCCTTTTCCAGCTCTGCCACTACCTCTACCATCCTTTCCATTTGCATCCCTCAACTACAAGCCTGCCAGCGCAGGGACCTGCCTTACTTGCTTTAGCTGGACACTGCAAAAAAAAGATCCAGACGATTTGTTTCACACAGGCTGTATGCTTTGCCTCAGACTCTCCTGATCTGATCATGACAGCCATACAGCAAACTCTGCTGTCTGCTACATATTTCATCTTCCCATGATATTATAGCTACAGTTTCTTCACACACTAAACCTGAATGCAAGGCTGCAAGTGCTAGAAGCCTAGCAGACAGATGCTGCACATCACCGCTCCAGCCTAAATGCCTGAATTCATTCCATTTTTTTTCCCCCATAAAACTTTGGTGGGTTAATTTTGAGTTGGCAGGTCTGTTGCATTCTACCTGTGCTGTAATTCTGCTACCTCTCTCCTGCTGGTATCCGTAATTTTACCCTACCTCTTAGATTGCCCACTGAAGCTGCTCTTCTCAACTTCTTGAAAGTTTCTGTGGGCAGCGGATTCTGCTTTTTCTTTGGATACCAATACTGTCGTTGTGATACCACTACTGCTGGAAAAAACGCCTGACCTGCCATGAGGTAACAGCCAGAGCCAGGCCCAGAGTTTATGAAAGCCCTGTATTCACTTGTCTGCAATATCTGTGCTAGAGCCTGGCTTAAGCCAGGTAGCAATCTGGATTTGCTAGATCTCTCCAAAAATCCTAACATGCAGGATTTCCTAACTGGGAACTTCTGTGGCAATGCAATGTACTGCAACGCTGCAGTGCAGGAAGCTCAGCATGGGTAATACCATGAAGAGAGCCTACAAGAAAAACCACCAATGGCCTAGGAACACAGCCACACATGAGGGGCTCTGCAAGAGCAGACTCCAGGCCTCAGGGTGCTTCTGAAAGCTCCAGCCAGCACTCCACCGCCTCTCTCCTGCCGTCTGCCCTTCTTGACCAATGTCTTCCTCCGCCCAAATGAAAAACAATGAGCTTAGCATGAACCTGTATGAATGCTGCCCTATCCGGAATTTCAGCATTTGAGTGATGACTCTCTGCACAAATTGAGTCTCACAGAAGGGGCAAAAAGGTCACTATTGTCATCAAGGTCCACTGGAAGACATCAAGTGTGCATTACCTGCAGACTGCACATAATCAAAGGATGGGTGTCATAAAGGTCCCTAGCTTCTCTATAAACTTTTTAGTGGAACAAAAACTGTTCCAGCCACGACATTTCTGGCTGAGCAGCCCACTGACAGAAGGCTAGAAACAAATTAAAGAATAAAAGCCAGGTCCAGTACAATTATCTTTTGAGGAAGAACTAGAAGCAAGAGGCAGGACAAGCAGAGACCTGCTAAAAAATCCCAATACACAACAGGGCTACCATGAACAAGGTTCATGCAAGGCAACTGGAAGTTGAGACATGCAGTGTAAAATACCAGGCAATACACTCAAACCTGATCCTGCAATAAAGATACTTCATAATCTAGAAGAAGCCATATCAAATCTGCAACCACTCCTCACAATGGATCAAATCTGATCTGTCAGATGATTTCACTGTACACAAATCCAGCACAACTACCAGTGAAACGTCATCATTCCCAAGATTAGCAAATACTTCTTGACGCTGTCAATAGATCACATGCAACAGAAATACTGTACATCTCACAAGTCTTCCTCTACACTTGAAGTTAGGTTAATGATGGTAACTACACCACTACCTACTGTTCTAAATATCTTATCTTTTTGCTTTCTAGCACGTGCTTCTGCCTGTCATAAACTTTGCAAAAGGTCTGAATTAGGAATTTACAGAACTAGAGTTCATAGTAACAATAATGAACAGGACCATATTCAACAATGAGATAGAATAGATATCCTTCTGATTTCTTTTACATACATACCAGCAATAAATTTCACCTGTACAGCATTCTGGTAATAGAAACAATTATGGCCAAGACAAATGCCTCTAAATTCTCAGTAGCTCTCACTAAAACATAAAAAATCAAGTAAGAAACATCAGGAAACTAAAGAAATTCACCTGGTTGCCAGTTCTGCGGTTTTTCTTTTCTGAGGAGATGCCCCAGTGTTGCATCAAATACAGAATTAATGAGTATCTCAGTAATTTATGAACAGCATAGGACTCGAGCGAAAAAGCCAAGTCTACTTCTCAAAAGCTCCTTTGACTTCCCAAGGAGGCTGTCAGTCTAAACAGGACCAAGATTCTCATTTGAGAAAATATATCTATAATTTAAAGACTAAGGTTTTTTTACTTCTTGGTTGGTGATGTTGTTTTTGTTTTGTTTTTTTTTTTAATACACACTTGAGGAGGAAATCTGATCTGGAGTGATTATTAAAATTGAAATAAAATATATAAACATAAGTAACAGCTTGAGTTTAGACAGTAGGCAAACAAAAGATTTGAAGATCTCTAAAGATACATAGTCTTGCCATTGTTTCCAAAATAGTGAGGCAAATAGCCATGAAAAACCGGAAGAAATTTTAATAATTTACTACAGCAACTAGCTCATTAGCAATGATGAAAACGTGTTTGGGAAGGATTTACTTGATCATGTAAAAACAACCACAGAAGTCTTTAAATTAAGTTCCAAAAAAATTTGTCTAAGGTTGCCGCATAAGAGTACCACTCTTCTACCCTTGCAGTTTTTATGTACGATTTGGTGTGAACTGCAAAACATGCCTCTAAAACTGCTGTTTCCTGTAGGAAGCAGGAAATCTATGGAATGTATATGAAGACCTGACATGGATTTAACAGCTACAGTCTTACTTAGTCCTATGGATTATATGGATTCCAGTTTAATTCTCTTGTAACATCACATGGCTGATGTTTTTTGGCCCCATGAAACCCTGTTTCTGCTTGATGCAGTTTTAATTTAAAAGCTATTTTTATATTTCATAACGTAACATAATCTAAGAATTGTATTATATTCTCTGTAGCTTGCCTCTTCATGTATGAAAATGACGTCCCCCTACCATACTGCTTAGCCTTTTGTCTTCTTTCTATCACAAGAGAGCCAACATCTCCTTGCCCATCAACCTGCGCCCCCCCAAAGCATTTCTTTCAGACTTAACTCCCCAGCAGTGTGGCCTAGTAACTTCAAAATAACCATTCTGCTACTTATTGGGTGAAAAAAGTGCCAAGGTCCAGCCTTATGTATCCTGAATATACACTTTCACCAAAAAGGAACGAAGTAACACAGGATTTGGCAAAACTAAGTTAAATGTGGAATTACAAAAATTAGTACATTTTCTAAAGCAATGGAAAGGGACAACTGATCTATTTAAACTCCAAAGAGAAAATAAACCAAAAAGAAAGGATGCAACGTCTATCATGGATTTCGTGAAAATCAGCTGTTATTGAAATAATGACTAGTCATTGTCAGAACTTTGTGGATCATCTTTTCTCACAGAAGGCAGTAGACTGCTCAGTAATTTCTTGAATATGTGACTTTGCCAGGTGGACTCCAGGGAGAAGGCGCTTCATCCCCATGGACAGCCTGCAACTTCTTTTGCTTCTTCTCAAGCTGCTCTCTCTTCTCTTTCTTTTCCTGAGAATAAAAAAATGTGTCAAAAAAACCCAAACCAAAAACCAAAACAAAACAAAAAACTAAACAAAAAAACCCAACTCCACCAACAGAAAAGTTACAATTATTGTTATACCTTTCTTGTGCAAAATGGAAAGTTAACATGCCATGGAGATTTGCCTTTTGGAGCTTAGCGCATCCCTTTTAGGGATTCAGTCACACACACTGCACAACACAACACAAGAGGCTGCACATTTGACATCATTTACAATTAAGGCGACTGTCTGAAGGATGGGTTGGTTTTGTGCACTGTCTAAACAAAAAGCCCAACAGAAGGCCTAGTGGATTAGGTACGGTATTTGTCTTGTATGTAATTAGTCTCATCTTAATTACTTCTTTTCTTTAAGAGGGTACCTAAATCACAATGCTAAATAAGTTGTTCTCATTAAATGAGAACATTGATGCATCTTTGTAACTTTCTGTACTTATTAAATCACACTTGCCATGTACTAGAACAAACTGGGAATTAAATAGTTTAATTATAAGCAAATATCTATCTAACTTATATTATAAACACTGCAAGGTTCTGATGACATTTTCTATTGTTGCAAACAGCAATGGGCAGTTAGGACGATGAAGGATAAACAAGATACTTGTAATATTCTTTTTGTGCCTAATTAAGTAATGATTTTCAAGATACCTGTCAATCAAATAATAATTTGCAATTATTTATTATTATTTTTGAATTTTTATATTGTTCTGTTCTATATAAAATAAGCATTCTTCTTTGCAAAGATGACTGCCATTTCACCATTGTGAGGACCAGCATCTAAGGGTGCATCTGCATTAGCAATTTAGTACACTGGAGAGTTCTTTATAGGTGCAAATTTTCCTTGTACCATACTTGCAGGTTTATGGTGCATGCTTGAGCACACCACTTACTGACTTAAAGTAGTTTCTCTCTTGGTGGAACCAAGGTTGACATTATGACCAGAGCATCACTTACAGTGCCCCACTTGACAGGTGGATGAAAGGTCCTTGAGCAGCTGGCTTTCCTGGCACATGAACAGTGCATTCATTCCTAGGACCAAGAACTGGCATACGCACCATTGGTAGTAAAGATGCAATGTGGATATGCAGGCTTAAAACAACCATCAATGGTGCCAAATCCAACCTTGGTCCTTTCCTCTTTTGCAGCCTATCAGCCAGTATTTTGAAGCACCATAAAAGTTTCATATTTTCACACGTATGAACTGCATTGCAGTGGAAGTACTGCTCCTTGAAGATAACCCATCATCCTATCCCTCTGAGGGACACTGTATATCCTCACATTCCCAAGATCCTAGCAGTGTCTTATGTTATTCATAAGTGAGAAGAGAAATAGTGAGGTAACTGTGGCTCAGGGAGTAGACTGGTAAATGGGGGTAGAAGTGTTATTGTAAAAAAGGGACATTTTATACAAAGGGATGTTTTACACATATGCAGCAGTCAAACTGTACTAATGCTAGCTATACATGTGATATGTACAAAAATTTAAAAAAGCGTAACATCCACTGAAACATCAACCCTATCAATATGATTTTAATCTGTGCCCTTTAGGTCTTTGTTAACATAAACCTGAAGATCCAATTCAGTTAGGAATGTCTGGTCTGGCTAAATAAACACACAATTATTTCATGTTGTTAGTAGTAAAGCTGATTAAAAGCAAGGCAAGGTTTGCATGGAGAAGTAATGCTCTTTACTAAAACAAGTGATACGAAAGTTCATCACAGTTAGTAAAATAAAAATTATCATCTCTCCATACAAACTGTATCTTTCTGGATTACATGGAGCGATCGAGACAAACTAGGCTTGTAGCACTGTAAGATTCTGACTCTGTCATCCTACACTTTTGCCTTCTTTCTCCTTCCATAGAGATCTTCCTTGGATGGACACAACTAGTGGCTTTGGGTCTTTAGAACAAGTTCAAGATATTTTTTTCAGGAATTCTTAAAGGGAACTGGTTAGTACCCTAAGGGGAAAGGAGTCTGCATTATCAATGAAATTTTTCAAAAAAGATGACAAGATATGTGCAAGCAGTACAGATGAGCTTGGGAAGAATGTGCTCTATAAAACAGAACACATGCATGATTCATGTTCCTGTTTTGGAGTATTTGCACATATCCAGCCAATTTATTTTTACAAAAATTTAATCACGTTCTACAAATCTTAGAATCTGAATCTGTATTTGACATTCAAAGACACATCAGGACAGGTAATTGAAAACTCATTAAAAATAGGACTTACTCTAGCCGTATTAGCAATTATTTGAGAAATCATGTGTTACGTGTTACAAAGAAATGTGCCTATTTTATGTTTATAAAGCACTCTTTACTGAATACATGTTGCACAACAGACTCGTATGAAATACCCACCCAGCAAGGGAATGAAAGTTGCTTTGGATTTTTTAATCATGTCTCAGTTTTGAATGTTTGGGTTTGAAGATCCAATTTTCATGAATGAATCCCAGTGCCAAGGAAAGAGTCTTGAGTTAATTTAACTGGTTTTTAAAAGATTAAATTTGACATTAAGACTTACTGGCTTCTTCCCTGCCTTCAACACACACAAAGCTTTTTATGTTCTAGTCCTAACCACAGTTCACATTCTCACAAGGCAATACTGATATAAATCTTCCCTAAAATAATAAACAAGATGTTATTTGCACTAACAGGAGAAGAGTAACAGAAATACTGAAAGATTAAAACAATAACTGTAGCTTGTCATACACTAGATCAACTCGATTGTATGGCTCGATTTCTCTGTGGAAGTTTCCTACTCAATAGCCTAGTAAGATGAATACATTTTTCATTTACAAAATTCTGGGAAGATCACATTCTTTAGCAGCATGACTACCACATAATAATTGGATTTTAGATAGTACAGAAGCCTTACTGTTACTCCTCTTAAATATTGTAACAGCCTTATTTTTAACATATTGCAATGCCAGGAGATTAAAATTCCAATATAGAAAGTATTTTCAGGTAGATCTTATTACACCATATGAAATGAATAACCCATGCCAGCTGTTTCTAACCCAGAAAAGCAACAAATCCAGGAGAGTCATCCAGTACATCATTTCCTGATTTTTTAAACAGCTTTAGAATGCCAAAAATAGGTGTTAAGCATGCTCAACCTTAAGGCAAAAATTTAAACTTCTTCTAGGGCATTTAACCTTATTATGCTGATCTTCGAGATTATTTGAGAGCAGCCTTACTTCTCATCAACTCATACCAGGTTAATGTTTACCACATAAAATGGAGAACATAACACATCTAGGATACTTGCTTTTCTCTACAGAAAACAGGTATCAAGATTACTACCTCAAAAATAATGGAAACTAAACTGATCTGTCGGTATAAACTTTCTACATGATTCTTCTCCACGTTCTACTCCTCAGAATAGGTGCTTGTGAATGACCAGTGTCAGACACTGGTAGTATGTATTAAGTAAAAAATGACCATTTATCAAGCAAAACATCTAGATTAGCTTGAAGAGTACTTGGTGAGTAGCAAGAGGCAAATACTATGATAGAAACAAAAAAATCAGAAGCTTAAATTTCCTCAGCAATACTAAAGTATCTCAGCTCAAGATTATCCTTCTTTATGTTAGTATTTTACAAGTGTTAATAGGCATTTCAGGGCATTTATGTTCATGTTTAAAAATTAATCGTCTCTATGCACTTATGTTATCAAACGTTCACACAATGACCTCTAAAAGTATAAGTAACAGAATTTTCATAAATTCTTTTTATAAATGCTTTTTATAAATGCTTTTTTTATAAAAGCAGAATTTCAATGAAATATAAAACCTTTTATGTTGAGGCTACAGACAAATCCAGCCAGGCTGATACCGGCCAAGAACTCATATATTGGGAGGTCTATGCAAAAAAGCTACTTCATTTTGTTGGAAATTTCTTATATTTTAGAAGAACTACAAGGAGATTTTTATGCCTGTTTTACCCATGCATTATGGTCAACACCTGGTTCAGCTGAGGATGAATTTACACATTTATTTCCATTGAATGTTAATGAAAATGTATTAGAATACTTCCCACTATATTACTCACATTTTACCTCCCTTCAAACAAAAATCCTCTTATCTGAAATAATACACTTAAAAGACTTCCACAATTCTGCCCTCTCAGATTTGATGCCTGTTTATCTACCTGTAGGCGGATATCATCTTAGTTGCCTTCTAATACATTGACAACTTTACAGGCGTTTCTCTCCAGCAGTTCACTGAAGGTGGTATTTTCTCTTTTAGTATACAAAGCGAGATAATATTCTGGCCAAACATGATGACAGAGCCATTGCCTGATATGCTTTCCCAAACAAAGGTGTGTTAGCTTCAAAAACCAGTACAATTTCAGAAAGTAAAAGCGTGAAGACTGCGCATGAGACACATCAGTCAACACTTGCACATAGACACTGATTATCAGGTAATTTTAGAGGTAGTGAACTGGTTGGCAGAGGTACCTATCACATCCTCCAACACCTGCTTATTTTTCCAACTGCTCCTCTCATGTAGGCACATGTACATCCATTTAGATCTGGTCATTCCTCCAACTACTAAAATTTATATTAATAATCCCACTGAAGTGAAGTGATGACCTCAGGAATTTATACACAATTTGAGCAGGGGAGCCTGTGCTAGGCAGCATATTTAATTCCCGAAAAAAGGGATAATTTTTTTACCTTCATACAGTGTCCAAGACAGCAAGGAAGTCAAATGTACAATGAGAGGTAACATTCATGCTTTGGTACAACTTCGCTAATTGAGGATAGTCTCAGTAAGCAGAGCATACCGAGACAGAGCGTTAGCTACTACTCAGAGCATAGTACTTTCTTCCTTGGGAACCAGGAGTATTGACTAAGCAGGAAATAATCTAAGATTGGACATTAATCATTTGACAAAACTGAGCTGGAAATCATTTGACAAAGGGGACCAGAGAAAACACTTCTTACCAATGATTACAGAAATCAGAGGTATTCCAACAGGGGACCAGGTCAAATAAGATCTTAAAAGACTTAAACCTGAGACTGAAAAGGTTTGAAAACAGAGAGAAGGGAAAACATGCAGGCTTTTGCTGTTTTACATAACTGCATATTTCTGAGTTAGCCAAGTAAAGGATGATTGTCCTTTTAAAATCTGTCCCACACCTGCACATCTGCCTGCCTCAGTTCTCATCTATCCTCCCTCCCCCCCCAAAAAAAAATAGAAAGCGCACTCGAGACTCTGGAAAAGATCTTTTTAAGCTATTGACAGTGCAAATGAATCCCTGTAAGGACCTTAAGCCAGCTGAGCTGCAAGATCCCATTCTTATAAATGGCAACAGAGACCATACGTACAGGACGCATGCCAGAAATCACAAGGAGGAGAGGCAACAGGAGAAACACTCTCAAACAAAGAAAACCTTAAAAGTCAGTATGATGAATGACTGTGTCACAGGGTGAGGATGAAAAAACGCAGGTTTTTCTTTAACTAGCAAGTCACACATCTTTAAGAAAACAATATATGCTAAGAATATTAGCGATCTCTCTTCTAGTTTGTCTTTCTGAAGCAAGGGAAAAAAAAAATCTGCCTTATTGTTGGGACTAGAGTACTAGATTAGTTTACTGCTTAACAGCTGTGACTAAAGTACGCTGTTGTAAGAAAAATGTAATTGGGAGCATCAGAGTATACCCTTTCTAGTAAATGGAAATAATCTCAAACCTCATTACAAGTGCTTTTATCAATTTTAAGATATACAAGTCTCCACTTTAAATGCTTCCTTGAATGTATATGCACTCAGTGTTGCAGCTGGTGATGCTGCTTGGCTTTGCAGGTTTTGTGCTGTGGTGAGTTGGCCCTTCAGAGATGGTTGCTCCTGACATGGAATGTCAAAAAATGAAGACTAACTATGAAATTCAAAACTCTATGACATGTAGGTAGGGAGAATATATTTTCCATGTATGCTAAATAACAAGTCCACTGTATTTTATCATTTTGCTCAAGAATTTTGGGGGACTAGCTATGTAATGCTGCCATCATCTGGCCTCTCTCATAACAGCATGAAAACACATGAGTATTACCATACAAAAGTGTTCACACTCATTACTACATTAATCTTTTTGGTTTTGACAAAGTAAAAAAAAAATAAATACCAGCCATCTTTCATATTCCTCCATAGCCTTTTTATTTTTTTCTTCCTTCTTTGCCTGTTGTATTTCTTGCTTTCTTCTCTCTAGGATTTTTTGTAATTTCTTCTGTTTCATATATTCTTCCTTTTTTTCATTCCTGTATATTGAGAGGCAAGAACAGGAGATCATCATGTAACAGACTAAATGCTGCATCTGTGACTGATTAACTAAATTGAGTCAAAAGAGATATTTTACGCATTTAATAAAAGATCAAGAATATACATTCAAAATCTTCAAAGTCCATCTTTATATATCACCAAGGTATAAATGAACCTACTATTCCATCTATTACGGCATCACCTTTTCTGTACTACTTTCTCCCTTATTTGGTATCATATAAAAATTAGATTCAAAAAGTCTGTGGGTAATAGTAAGTTGCACATGGTCTGTGAAAAATCTTGGCTTGTAAAACTAAAAAAGAATTTCTCCAGCAGACACATCTCATTTGCTTCTGAATACATCCACATTCATACACTGTATTCCACAAAACTTAAGATAAAGATTTACCTTCCTTCCTATGGCTTAGTAATGAAGCATGAGACTAATCACATAAGACATTATACTATTCAATGAATCTTACTTCTCAGTTGCAGTGTCTCTGCCTGGGCTTAGTCAGTAGCCTTTTGGGAGGAAAGCATTTAAGTTACAAAACTGAAAGAAGCTGTACAGCTTGTTCTCATTGTTACACTTGTTCTCCATTGGGACTGAAGAGCCTGATCCCAAGCATGCCATTGTCTCCCAATTAAAAGCACATCAAACACTCACAGAAGACCTATTGCATTTATAAGCAAAGATTTGGGAAACTATGATATTCCAAAACCCAGTGGAGTAGTACCATTTTTCAACTGCTGACATGCTGTCTCTCTTCTTCTCTGCAACCAGTTCCTCTTCTTTCTTCTTCCTGATTCTTTCAGATTGTTTTTCCTTTCTGCTTTGCTCTCTTAAATATTCCGCTTTTCTTGCTTTCCATTTTTCAAATGCCTAAAGAAAACCAGAGATTCATTAGAAATCTTACCCCTCACCTTTTTGTCAATACTCCACTTGCTTATTCTGTATTATTATTATTTGTAATTTCTACACATTCCAATTTTGGAATATTTGTTTGTGGCATTGCTCAGAAGTGGGTATCACTATACTTAAAAAGAATAAAGTATTTTTTCCAGTAAGTAATAGTTCATTGCCAATGTATTTATATGGAGTTTATTTCACGTGCAGTTAATAGAATCCAAATATGGAAAAAAGCCTGTTTGTGTGCCAATGTAAACATTACATACTTCCAACAGAACAGAATCTAATATGAGCTTTCCTCAAATATTAACCATGTTTAGATTTTAGAATCTAGTTCATTTCCATCTCTTGCCGGATTAATCAAAATCATTCTCAACAATCTCCTGAACCGTATCCGATACACATTTATGTACATATTTCGCATCACCTTCTGTGCTGCTTCTGTTTTCTCCTCATTCTGTTCGGCTGCTTTCTTTGTCTTAAGTTCCTCAAGCTTCTTTTTTTCACTTAACTTCTTTGCTTCTCTTCCTTTCTTTTTTTTCCAGGCTTCAAAAGATGCAATTGCTTCCTCTCTTTTATCGGCTTCTTTCTAGATTGAAAATAACAGTCTTACATTTAAGTACACTTAAATATAAAACTATAATTGAAATAGTATGCTTTAAACTCATTGTCAAATGTAGGATTAGATGGAGCAATAAAGAAATGGAAATTGATTTGCAGACAACATTCCAAGTAATACTCAAAATTAAATTTGAACTATCTAGAGCGGTTTTTTTCCTATGCTCATTTTTAATTTAACTTAATCGACTGAGACAAACTACTCCTGCAAACTATGTGTAGAAGAATATGAAATACATGTTAAATGCTTAGAAGTGAAATATATTAAATACTTAAAAGCCAAATCTAAGAATTGTGTATGGTACTATTCAAAATACAGTCCTCTGTAGATAAGCATCTCTTGAGATAGGGAGCAAACTAATTTTCTAACAGATGACAAATTAAAACTTAACACTGAAGGGTTGAGCATCCCAAGGTCTTTGTAAACAAACCTGAAAATTAATCTAAGAAGTACACTTTTAACATACCTTACGTAAATGTGTAGGGAAGCATCAGCCACACACCCTTTACAGCAACCCTAACAAGCGGGACGTGACATTTACTGTTTCAACTCACCTCACGCTATTTAGAGAAAACCAGACACCTTAGAACAGCAGTGATGTAATTAGGCAGAAAGCACAGGTAAGCATACTTCAAAGAATTATAGTTTGTCAACTTCTTTTTAAACAAGAATGTAAACAAACCTTTTCAGTATCGTTCCTTAGATTTTCAGCTTTCTTCTTTTCAATTCTCTTTAATTCCAGTAGAAAGACCCTTTTCTTTTCCAACCAATTCTGTAAGAACAATTAGAAGACTTTTATACTTTTAAAGTCTTTTTAAGGTATAACTAAAAAAGTTATGTTAAAACAAGCAAATATTATTAAAGCAGCACCAATATAATGACCACCAAAATTTCTCTTAATTCTTCCATGTGCTACTTAAATAACTACCCCATGTGGAAGACTAAGGTTCTAAAATCATAGCCACAAAGTATGAAAAAGCTTAAAGATCTTTAAAACAAAAAAATCTTTAAAAAAATACCAATAAAATGTAAGCATTAAAAAAGTGAAAAAGAAGAATGGAATAAAGATTCTATCACTTGGCATATAGGAATATTATTTACATTTATTGTCCCTCTTGAAAATACCTATAATTAAAGAGAATAAAATCCAGCTGGGAAGAGTGAGACTTCAGGCACCCATAAAGTGTTACCAGCCATTTGCAGAATCAGGCTTAAATTTTCAAGGTTTAATTATATACTTGGTATGCTGCTTAGAGATGCAAGTGTTGTAAATGAAGCCTATTTTACCTTTAAAAATTATGGAGACAATATAAATATGGATTTGAGGTTCTAAATTTTGTTCTAGAACCATAACAAGTATTAAAAACACATACCAATATGAACAGCATCTGTTAATGAAAGTTTTTCTCACACAGATTAGTAGCAAAAATCTGTTGGAACCCACAAACTAATCGTTATGAAATTCTACACAGAATCCACAGATTATCCTTCTGGAGAGAATACTAGACTTGTTGTCACTTTTCCTGAATGCAAACTGAATAGAACATACCAGGAAAAGGAACTTCAAACTACACACTTACTTACGTTAAGGAAGAAGTAAAGGAAAATATTGTATGTGTCTGAAAATGGTCTGATGCAATAAATTATGAACCACGGTACCTCCCTCTCATCTAGTTTTTTAGTTCATAATTTGATGAAAAGGCATAGCCAACAGAATAAAAGGATTATTACACCTGTAAGCATATGCAAGGAATATACTCAGAAATCTTGATTTCAAGAAAATAAGAGGTGTTATATAACAGGTCCTATAACAGGACCTTTATATGCGTAGTTTTGTTGGTTGTTTTGTTCATTTTTTATTTGTTTGCTTTTAGGATCTACCTGGAAAACAGCTGCTCGTAAACTATCTGCTTTGTCAAATTTTGTACTGTTTTTCTGCACATGTTTATCCTCCAACACCTTTAATGTTCCCAGATATTGAGATGAAATAGGTGTAGCTGATGGAACAGCTTTCGCCTTTTTCTTTAAGTGCGCAGAAGACAGAGACCTATAAAAATACCAAGACACAAACATATTAATGATCTTTCCATTTATTGTAGCTGATACCAAGTAGTGTTCCTTTTATTTCAGCGTATACCAAAAGTTACTCTGATTCCGTTTTTACATGCACTTGGCTGGGGATTGGGGAAAAGGAAATGAGGAAGAAGCCCGTTTTCTTCTGAGGGCTTTACTATTGCCAAAACAAGCCACTACTCAACTTATTCAGCCCAAGAAAGTTTACAAATTCCTTACACTTTCACCTACAAAACAGCTTAAAACCTGTAAAGACATCACGGACTGGATTCATTGGTGGATCCAGTAGCACACACTCATCATAGACACTGGCAAAAGACTTGGAGTCTGATCATACATAACCCTGAGCAAGGGTTGTAATAACAAGCCACATCTACTAAACTGTTTTCCACAGATGGCCAGAGGTTGTCAGCAGTGAAGACGATGCTGACAGAAAATGAGAGTGAAGCAGCATTGTCAGGGTATTTACATGTATCATACACTCTGCAGACTGTGAATCATAGCATCTTTCTCTTACCTGTCAGATAAAGAAGCTTTCGGGTTTTGTAGAACTCTCTCCATTGTTTCATTTAGTTTCTAAGAAACAGAGGAAAAGTAAAATTATAGAGTCTCTCAAGCAACAGAACTAGATCAGGATGAAACAGGTTTTTACAAGCTAACAAGGATGTTGGGAGTTGGACTTGATGATCCTTATGGGTGCCTTCCAACAGAGTTCTACACATTTAAGGTACCAACAGTAACTATACAAAACTTTTCACTGTGCTTCTAGGACACTGTTCTAAACAATGGTAAAAACGCGAGTAATACCTTGGCAGAGTCCTTTGAAGTGTTCTTTGCCTCCCCATGCTCAGATTGATCATTCACTGATACCTCCTGTACTGTATCAGTTACTATTTGCCCTTCCACTATTTTCACCGTTTCATCTGAACTGTCATCTGTTGACTTCTCTAATTTCTTTGTTTTCCCATATACTGTGGTCATCATTATTTCTGTCACAGAAGGAGATTTTCTACTGTTGTCCTCCAGTTTCAAGTCACTGGTGCTGATCTTCTGATCTTGATCTAATAGGAGAAAAAGGATTGAGAGGACACATTAACAAGAATTTCATTGTTTCTCAGTATTGTTATTTCTGTACTAAAAACAACTGTTTATGAAATATATTACTAAATGATATAATATAATGTATTTTCTGTATACTTCCTCCTAAGAACTATATGGACTAATAAGAAGAGTATTCACTTGTATTGTATTTAAATGTAAGACTGGAGTAGCAACTGAAGTTTTAACAAATGTTATAGAATGTGTGAGCGTGACAAAGGCAAAACCTCCCATCTGCCTCACCACCCAAACATGGTTCTCGTGCAGAAACCAAAAGCAAGAGCCATCGCAATCAGAGCAAGAGCTCTTCTGACATCTAGCAAACTACTAATGAAGTCTGTACAACAATTTGGGTAACAAAAACTACTTTCATTGTGTGGTGTTTTTCAGGGCTGTGGGACACACAAGGAAATAACTGCAAGATTCTGCAGTGAGGATTTAAACAAAACATCACCTCAATTTAAACGCATGCCTAAGTGGTGAAATTGTCATTTATGAAACACTTTATTAATAAATACTTAAAAAACATTTTTATCAGATCTGAACTGCCATTAATGCAGCGATCTAAATTTGTAAAACAATTCAGACACAAACCAAAAAAGGCCGTGGTAAATTCCAAATTACAGTCTTCCACGATTTTCTGATGGAATTCTTAAAAGAAATACAAGTTGTGGATGAGAGATTAACTCCAAGTTACCTGAAGAAAGGAATATCAGTGCTGACAATCTAAGAAATTTAACCTAGATTTACAAAGATGAAGGTAAATTCTAGGTGACAAGGTGAATTCTGAATTTATATGAACCATTTTCTATCCTGTGTTGATATGTAAACTTTCATATTTTACTTTACACTTAATAGACAGTACAACTGTATATAAACTGTAGGCATCAGAAACTGTACAACTCTAAGCTGCAGCACTTAGTGCAGAGGACACTGGAGACAGCAGATTTATGTCTGGCTATGCGCACTTTGTAGCATGAACTTCACAGAACTTCACATGCAAGTCAGTTTGGCTCTGTTTGCAAAATGGATACAAAACACTAACCTTCCCATGGTTAGCTGAAAAATGCTACATAAAACCTGTAAGTATTATTATTGTAGTTCCTTTCTTGACAGTTCAAGCTATACAAGTTTGATCAGTCTGCTTGGAATTCTTACGCTTCCACACTTCAGCATCATATTTAAACAATCTTTTCCAATCCCTTTTCCTCCGCTTTTGTTGAAGACTCTGTATCGTTGTTGTTTCTATGTCCTTCTTTGTCCTGACACCACCACCTTTATCATTCTCTTCATCTTATGCTGTCCCTGCTCTTGGAGAATCTACCCATTTCAGTACACTGATGCTCATATCCTTTTCCCCATACAAACTCTCCTTAGACATTGTTTCATTAACGATGCTTAAAAGCATCAAGCTATACCAAACAGATTTTCTAATCCAAGGCATCAGCAAAATATAAAAAAGAACTGAAATGAAACACAGATTAAGCATATTTGTTATTTACTACTCAGTACATTGCCTGAGTTTTCAACTTTTGTTCACCTTTCCGCACTGAATTCTTCAAGCCAGGTCCTATCTTTTATCTCATTAGGCTGCAGCATATGGACATTACATAGGCCATACAGACAGCATTTTTCTTGCTGCATCTGACAGTCTACGTTACCTACCTGTTACAGTCCTGCACACAGCAAATTACCCCCCAGCATGATTCCCCTAGCAAATTAAAAAAGGTGTCTAACAGCCTATTCCAGAGTTTTTCAACCTGGGGTCCATGGATTTTTGGTAACCAGTCTGAAAAAGGGGACTAAGAAAGGTAAGTTCAATGGATACTGCTGAGAAGCCCACAGATTTGATATTTCTTAAAGGGTCTATAAATTCCCTAAGAACTGTTAAGGATTCACAAATCCAAAAAAACCAGAGAAGTGCTACGTAGTTTGTATTACCTTTTGTGGAAAAGGTGCAGGAAGAAGTGAAAGATTTGCCCTAGTCATGATGACTGCATAAGAGGAAATGAAATTAAAATGATTTCTTTTAAGTCTCAAAGATGCTTAGACAATGATGCATACACTTGACGTTAGTCAAAGTACAGAAACTAAATTCTCAAACTTTAATCTCTTCTTCTCCATTCCTGGGATGCCTTTAAGGCCAAATTTCTCAATACCTGGGATGATACTTGGACATAACCGCAAGAATGAGGCTGGGCCACTCTCAAAAACAGAACAGAAGGAGACACAAGGGCATGAGAAAGATACTAAAGGAGAGTAGAAAGGAAATTAAGAATGCCACTGAGTTTTAAGATGACTTGTATTGGACCATTAGATATTACTAAGGTATAAATGATAACATTTATCCGGTTGTATGTATCTAAGTTCTACCTTTTGCAGGTGGTGCTTCTCCACACATCAGTAAATTGGAGTCTCCAGATTTTTCATTGTGGGAAGTAAAATTAACGGAAAATGGTGGTGAAGTACTTTCTAGCCACGGACCCTTAGATCAGAAAGTGACAAGTAAACAAGTGAGCGATTCATAACAAATCAGAATAATTTAACTTGACTTTATAATACTTTGACAGAATGCTTGTTCAGAACTCTCTAGGAGACGTATAATTCTTGTTTTACATTTGGAGAAATAAAACATTTGCAGCAAATAAAGCTGCAAATGATCACAAAATCCCATTTCTACTTAGAAAAAGAATGATGTTCTCTTATCTGCCCCTCATCATAAGAATGCTACTGGCAAAGACATTTTTTCCCACTCCTATTTTTGTCCTATTTTTCTCCCAGAAAATTTTGTCAGCTAAATAAAAAGTTAGTTTCAAAAGTTTCCAATGTAGATGGTAAAAAAACCCCCAAACCAAAAAAACCCCAACACATATACTCTCTTACTTCAGGACCAGGGCTTTCGGCAAGCAATTTTTTCTTGGGTGTGGCTTGGGCATTCAGAGTAGTTAGGGATGATGGTGCCGAAAACGAAGACAATCCATTTCTAGAAGTTATTTTTCCTTCTGACCTATTAAGCTCATTGTCTTCCACAGGACCACTTTTTCTCAACATACTTCTTGGTTGAGGTAATGGTTTATAACAGCCATCTAATGAAAGGATGCTGATATTCTCAGCTGAAAATAAGTATTATAGTTTCATTTATGCCTAGTTAAAGACATTTTAGTCTGCAACACTATTTTATCAAGTTAGATTGAACTATTTTCAATTAATGAGCTATTTAAATAATAGCACAGCTTTCTTAATACAGTGAGGCCACATACAGACAGCTACATAAAGAGTTACAGCCACTTTTTCAAAAAGTTTACTGAAAGTTTTAAAGCTTCAAATATAACCTCTAAACAGACAATTATCTCTGTGTATATATTGAAACTACATTCAAGAGCTCATCTGCAATTAGAGAGACAGCGTTTTCATAAATATAGAAGAGAGCACATGTCTAATACAGCACTGTTGTAAGAAAAAACTTTTTGCTATTCTGCTTGTCCCTTTATCTACTAGAGAAGATACAGAAGGAAGACTGCTTCTCTCCACACAGTGCAGAACAGAACAACCTCGGGTAGGAGGAGACATCATGAGAAATGCAGTTGAAGAGGAGGGCTTTCAGTATATTTCTAGCTTCTTCCGTGATGTCTCCGTTCCTTCCCTAAGGCAGTCACCGGGCAGCAGAACCACCACGCAACGGTTTCTTACAGATCTTCTTCATGTTTTCTTCCCCCTGCCCTGCCACCACCAAGATCAAGCCATACAATGGCTTTCTACCTGCCTTTAGAAATAGAAATGCGTACCTAATTCTGCACATTGCCATAGAAGCATTTCTTATTAACTCCTAGTTCATACAAATCTATCGCAGGAAATGGGAGAATCACCATGCCTATCCAGCACACTCAGCTGCGTGAAGTCTAATCATACAATTACTGTGACATATAGAGAGCTAAGAGGTCACAACAATATTCCTGCAAGTGCACTGACAGTTTTTCCATGCACCAAATCACAAGAAAAATCAAAGGAGCAGAAAAAGCTCATTAATCTCTGGATAGTCATCTCCTCTGTTGGACAGAGATCAATTTACCTAATATAAGAAAGTCTACAATGGTTGACTACTGAAGATAATATGCTAATACCACTATACTACCTAGATTCACATGAAGAAAAGGAGTACTTCAACTCTTTTCTACCAGTCTAAAACTACACAAGCATACTGGCCATGAAAGAGATGCATCTGCAGTGCCCAGCTGCACATGCAAATATCTAGCACTTTGGTGCCATCATGTGGGAAGAAAAAGAGGAGCTGATATCACTAATCATGCTCTACCAATTTCAAAGTTGTAATATTCTACCACAGGTAATGCCCAGCCATAAATTTCTCTCAACATCAAACAGGACAAATTCTTCTCATATTAGGAAGTAGATAAAAAATATGAAGTCTTTTGACATTTTAAATTTGTAAAAGCACATATAGTCAATTAGCAGAATTCCAAGTTCTGCTTTGCATATTAAAAATGAATTAGCTAGTCTTATAATGAAACAGTGAAGTCCTTTTTTCACGTTTGACTATACCTCCAAAGTGGCTCAGTATCTTCAAAGTAAAAAATCATTTGAAGTTTTAACTTTGTGATGATGAGAAGTCTACCATTCATAAATGTTTTGGTTACAGCTCATTTTATGACATTCTATTACATTACAGTATCATGATGTCTCAGCATCACGACTGCAATGTTATTATTTGCGACCACTGTGGTCCAACTTCACTGGTCATAGAGAAAGGATGCCTAATTAAGGACCTTTCCATTAAAGGGTGCATGGATGCTGTGGACACTGTGTGAATATCGCTTTCTGTGCTATGCACACACAGAGGAGGCAACTCTGTCGCCCTCCCACGCCTTCCATGGACATGCACTGATGGAGAGCTGGACTTTAAGTACCCAAACAGCTATTTTTCATCTCCTGAAAGGAAAAGGCAAATAGGAACCTTCTGCTACTTGGTCCACACTGGTTCAGTTTACCCCCTGGCAGCTGGAGGTTATCAAAACATGTATTTTTTAGAAGAATATTGAATAAATTCCCTGCAAGCCAAAGCCGCTGATACTTAACACAGAAAATAACCCAAATTACAACACTTTAAAATATTGTAATATGGCTAAGCAAGTAGCAGCAACAACATTCAAATGCTTTCTTTTCACCTGATGCTGAAGCATTTCTTGTTTTGTGCACCCGTGGCTTTGGTATTGGTTTGTTTTCCTCTTGATTTCTTTTTTTCTGTCGTTCACGAATAGGCAAGTCATTACCGCGGTCACTTTCACTATTATCACATGGTACTTCTTCAGCAGCTGAACACTCTTCATTATCTTTTCTGTCATCACCCTCATTTTGATTTTCCAAACATTCTTCTTCGCCATCTTTTCTGTCATCCTGTATGTTTTCACTTTCTAAGACCATTAGTCGCTGAAGCTTCTTTTCATGAAAGGATAAAGTCAAGTCATCAGCAGCTTCATTTTCCAAATCTGCTGCTTTTTGTGAAGCATCATCACCTGAGAGAGAACTCTCAACAGTGACTGATTCCTTAGTGTTTTCAGCACCTGAATTACTTTCATTAAGTTCTTCCCCAATATCTGAAAATAGCACATTATCAACTTCCATTTGAGACAAGTGGAAAAAAATGGGACACAGAAACTCTATCTTCTATAATTTTAAAGTATTTTTCATATAATACTCTCCTGACTTAAGTCTCTGAGCATTTCTCTTTCTGCACCTCTGATCTCTGCAAAGCCACCAAACTAGATCCTTATTCTACTTCCTTTCCTGTCATTTGTTTCCATGGACCCAATCCAAAGAAAATACTTCAAATATTCACTGGTTAATTCTTATCTGTCATGCAATTTAAATCCCTTCTAAAAAACTATGTTTCCAATGCCATAAGAAGTGGAAGCAAGTCAACAACAACAAAGCTAGGCACATTTGGTTACCAGAATCTATCCTCCCCTTCTATGCTCTTCACTTCTGTCCCATCTGAAATCCACTAGAAGCTACTCAAAGGGGTATCTGCTCCAGTGCTAAGGTTCACATGTTTAACAAAAATATTTTTATCTTCTTGTAGCCTGTTATTTCTAACTGACTTTATTTCAGAGTTTAAATTCTCAAGGAAGATGACAAAAGAATGTCATGATAGTTGAGTAACGTTTTTAATGCAGGAGGAGCTTTTTTCTAAATCCTGTCAGCAAAGGGAAATCAAAGCATCCCATGACCTTTTAAAAGATGTTTCAGATGTGAATAAAAAACAGGGCACAGAGGAAGTCCTTTTAAAAATACATTATGATATTTAAGATTCATATTTCCCTTAATATGCAGCATCATATCAGGAGGAAGAAGAGCCATTCGGCCAATCTCCTTAGGCTAAACATAAACATTACCAAATATCAAATGCATCCTAGCCCAGGAAAAACAGCCAGATCAAACCTGTTCCTGGTTTGTGTACACTGCCAGGCAAGCATGCTCTGCAGTGTGTCCTGCAGCCCTTATTCACTGATTGTCCAGACTGGGAAAACAGCAAGACAACAACATGGCTTTCTCTCTGCCCATGTCCACTTCCATTCACAGTACTGTGCGCTACTGTCTCATCCAGGTGCAGAGTAAGTAATACGGCTAAGGAGGAAAACTGGGCATCACAACTGTAGGGAAGAGCACAGACTGCGTCTGGTCTAGCAGGTTGGCACCACCACTGATTTCACTGGGAATTCTACTCCTAATTTGGAAGAGGAAGACTAAGTGATTTAGAAGTTGTTAAAATATGGAATCTTGGAACATTGAATCATATTGACTCACAAAGATTCTCTGTGATCTAGCAGTGACTTAAGAAAGGGAAGAACACGAGGAAAAATATTTAATTCTGTCTTACCATTTAACATACCATCTTCGTCACTCTCAAAGTCATCTGAGTATTCAGCTGTTTGCTCTCTTGCTGCATGAGCAGAAATTGCTTCTTGTAGCGCATCCTGAAACGGTTTCACAAATAACTTTTTGCACAGAAGGGAAGATTCACTTCATCAAGTTCAGCACTAATTCCCCCCTCCCACACTGAAAATGATTGTGAAGGCTAAGTAAAATCCAGTGTTTTCACTCTATCATCATTCCCCCAATTTTATTGTGTTTAAAAAAACCTGCCGTGTATTAATTTCTATTTCTTCTTCCTAAGAAACATATCTTGCAGATCCCTCTTCCATTTTTGGCAACAATGACATTGTATCATCACATGACACTTTCTCCCCCTTTCATATGTTTCGACTGGCAAGAGTACAACAAAAAGGTCTGTACAGTCACGCGTGATAGAGAAGGTGAGCAGGGACTATCTCTTCGCTGACTGCTGCAGTACAAGAACCTGAGGCAGGTCCACAACAATGGAAGAACTTCACGCAAGCCACCGCTGATATTTTGGACTCTGCTGCAGGACATCACGGACACACCATGTTTACATGGGTTCTGAAAGCAACTGGCCTTACTTACAGGTTAAAAATACATTACGAAATGCAGCAGTATCTCCAGATTGGAAGACCCTGAGCCACAAACCACTGAAGGCTTGAGAGCAGGTTGTTTGACACTGGTCTTACGCTCTTCCCAAGGCACCTGCTGTTGGCCACTGCTGGTCCTTTAGCCAGAGCCATTTTTGCAGGACTATCAGGAACAGAAAAGTCAGGCTGTTCACATCTTAGAGCGACTGTTTCCCAGGTTATGCACGGGGAGCAGCTTCTAGTGTCCACACAGAAGGAAACCTGCTTCCCAGTTTTCATTTTGATAGCAAATCGGCTTTTTTGTGTGTGTTGTCTTTAACAGCAAAGTACTGTATTCACAGTCGCAGAAACCTGTTCGCAGAGAAACGCCACCGACGCCGTCTCCCGGCCCCACCGGCAGCTCTCCCCG